CAAAAAAAAAAAAAAAAAAAAAAAAAGTGAAACTAGGGTGGGCACGGTGGCTTAAACCTGTAATCCCAGCATTTTGGGAGGTCGAGGTGAGAGGACTGCCTAAGCCCACGGGTTCAAGAACAGCCTGGACAACTTGGCCAGAACTTGGCTTTACAATAAATCAAAAAATTAGCCAGGCATGTTAGGGCACACCGGTAGTTCCGGCTACTTGGAAGACTGAGGCAGAAGGATCACCTGAGCCCAGCAGGTTGAGGTTGTGGTGGCAACTGCACTCCAGCCTGGGCGACAGATTGAGACTATGACTCAAAAAAAAAAGTGAAACTAGGCAGGGCATGGTGGCTCACGTCAGTAATCCCAGCACTTTGGGAGGCCGAGGCAGGAAGATCCCTTGAGCCCAGAAGCTTAAGACCAGCCTGGGCAACACAACGAGACCTCATCTCTACAAAAAATTTAATAATTAGCTGGGGATGGCAGTGTTAGCTTGTAGTTCCAGCTACTCAGAATGCTGAGGTAGAAAGATCGCCTGAGTCCAGGAAGTCAAGGTGGTCATGAGCTGTGATCATGCCCCTGCACCTCAGTCTGGGTGACAGAATGAGACCCCCAACTCAAAAGAAAAAAGAAAGAAGAAAGAAGCCGGGCTCGGTGGCTCAGCCTGTAATCCCGCGCCTTTGGGAGGCTGAGGTAAGTGGATTGCCTGAGCCTGCGGGTTCGAGACCTGCCTGGGCAACTTGGCGAGACCTCATCTCTACAATAAATCAAAAATTAGCCGGGCGTGGTAGCGCACTAGTTCCAGCTACTTGGAAGGCTGAGGCGGAAGGATCGCCGGAGCCCAGCGGGTTGAGGCTGCGGTGGCCGGGAGCGGCCACTGCACTCCAGTCTGGACGACAGAGTGAGACTCCAACTCAAAAAAAAAAGAAAGAAAAAGAGTAAAATGCTCTGATGCCTAATATGTAATCTGGTGCTTAATTTTCTCCACATTCCAATGCTTTGTATTTTTCTGAGTACTCAGGTGACTCTCCTAGCCCAGCACTCAGAGTAGCCCACTTGATCTCAGAAGAGGTACTTGCCGTCGCATCCTGGTCCTCAGGCTCATTCACAGAGAGGCTACTGACATTCACTACCATGTAGCCATCCTTGAAGAATCCAAAGGTGTTCAGATGAACCTTATGCCTCACATCATCCTAAAGAGATTTGTGCGGTGGAATTAGTCACATAGAAAAGTTAACTTTTGATTATTCAATCATTTGCTTGAAAAACTAGACATCCAGTTTCCTCCCAGCCAGCCAATGTTTCCAGATGCTCAATAATCCACACAGCTGTGTAACTTATTCTCCAAAAGCCCAAGACGACTCGGCAGAAATTCCAAAGATACCAACAGCTTTTGCAGAGAGAAGCACACAATGGGTTCAACCCAATTCAACTCACAGGGACGGGTTCTAGGAGCCAACTCAGTGGCCAGCTAGAATGTGAGTTCCTGGGTAGGAGGAACCTGATAGGACAATGCCTGGCAACCCGGAGGCACCAAAAATGGGAAGAAGGGGGGTACAAAGGAAGAGAGTGGCCCAAGTTGTTCCAGGAATATGCTCCTTTACATAACGCTTCTGATCAGTCTGGATATCTAACTCCTCCCACTGCAGGATGAAGAGACAATTTTAAAAAATAAAATAAAATAGGCCAGGCGTGGTAGCTCAAGCCTATAATCGGTACTTTGGGAGGCCCAAGCAAGACAACTGCCTGAGCTCAGGGGTTCAAGACCAGCCTGGGCAACTTGGTGAGATCTCATCTCTACAATACATAAAAAAAAAAAAAAATATATATATATATATATATAAGCTGGGCGTGGTAGTATGTGCCTGTAGTTCTATCTGGGTCTCCATTCAAGGAACACAGCTCCCAGAGAGTTCCAGATTATGGCCAAGAAGGAGAGGGACACAGTGCCAACTAACCTTCCTGCTTGAGCCTCAGGCTGTGATCCCTGCTTCCCCTGACACCTATTAAAGATCCAAGCTCTGCTGGGTGCAATGGCTCACGTCATTTAGGGAGGCAGAGGTGAGAGAACTGCCTGAGCCCACGGGTTTGAGACCAGCCTAGGCAACATGGCGAAATCTCACCTCTACAATAGATTAAAAAATTAGCTGGGTATGGTAGTGCACGCCTGTAGTTCTGGCTACTTGGAAGGCTGAGGCGGAAGGATCACCTGAGTCCAAGAGGTCGAGGCTGTGGCAGCTGTGAGTGAGCCACTGCACTCCAGCCTGGGTGACAGAGTGAGACTTCAACTCAAAAACAAACAAAAAAAAATTAGCTGAGTGTGGTGGCGCATATCAGTAGTTCTAGCTATTGGGAAGGCAGAGGTAGAAGGATCGCCTGAGTCCAGCAGATTGAGGCTGCGGTGGCTATGAGCATTCAACTGTACTCCAGCCTGGGTGACAGAGGGAGACTGACTTAAAAAAAAAAATTAGCTGGGCGTGTACCAGTAGTTCTAGCTATCTGCAAGGTTGAGGTGGAAGGATCGCCTGAGCCCAGCAGATTGAGGCTGCGGTGGCCATGAGCATGCGACTGCACTCTAGTCTGGGTGACAGAGTGAGACTCTGATGTGTTTAAAAAAAAAAAAAAGGCTCCAAGGATCTAAGGCCCAAGGTTCTGCAATGGCCTCAGGGGATCCCCAGATTCCACTGCCTATCTGCTGAGCTTTCAGATCCTCTCCTCCATTTCTTGGCCCCTGGGAATTTCCCTTGTTTACTTAGAACTCAGTTCTGTCGCTAAAAGCATGATAGCTGGCCTTCTACTTCCTGGCAGGACAGAGTGGCTTGCCACACACCAGTTCTCTCACAGAGAGCTAGAATATCGAGAAGATGACAGGGGTCTGCTGGAAGGCAAAACAGTTGATACACAGTCAAAAACAGAGCACTGAAATCCCTTTCTGGGGTTTCCTGAGAGAATTAAGCCCTATGGAAAATGCTCTGGGTGCCTATTTTACCAAGCCTCCAAGGACAGTGCATGGCGACCACCATCCTAGACCACAGGATGGAAATCAATGCAACCACGTGCAATGGGTGCCTTAGCACAGGAGGGCTCGGGTCTCGGCAGAGCCCCCAGGTGGGCAAGGAGGAAACCAAGAACACACAACTCCTGCCACACAGGACGTGGGTGGATCTCGCCGGGGCAATACTGAGCAGCACAAGCCACGTTCACATTGTAATTCGGGGGAGTCACTCACAGTGAGAAAGGTCAGGGTGGTGAGTGGTGATGATGCCACAAAGGAAAGGGCCCTTCCAGTCCCTGGAGGGCAGGCAGAACCTAAGGCGCCTGTGGGGGGCGTGGCAAAGTCGTGTGGCACTTCCTGCCAGCTGCCTGGGTTGGCATGGTGGGGAGGCACTGAGCTGGAGGCTGATGGGGAACTTGTGGCATGGTCGTCATACCTCAAATGAGGTTTACGTTGAAGAGCACGCTCCTGGGCCAGGCGCGGCTCAGCCTGCAATCCCAGCACTCTGGGAGGCTGAGGCGAGAGGACTGCCTGAGCCCGGGGGTTTGAGCCCAGCCAGCCTAATTGGAGTCTCACACTTGTTGCCCAGGCTAGACTGCATTGCAGCGGCAGGCTCACAGCCACCCCAGTGTCGACCTGCAGGGCTCTGGCAGGCCTCCCGCCTCAGCTTTCCAAGTGACTGGAACCATAGGCACATACTACCATGCCTAGCTAATTTTTTGATTTATCGTAGAGACGAGGTCTCGCCAGGTGACCCAGGCTGATCTCGGACCCCTGAGCTCAGGCAGTCTTCTCGCCTCTGCCTCCCAAAGTGCTGAGATTACAGGCATGAGCCACTGTGCCCAGCTCAAAAACAGGTTTTTGAAGAATATTTTAACAATAATAATACCATCACCTCCCTCCCACCCCCATCTTCAGCATTTTCCAAGAACTAGGTTACATGCCAAGGGCTTACCCATGATGTCTAACCTTCACTCAGCCCACTGTGGTTAAGAGAAATACCCCATAATAGGGACAAAGACACACGTGCTTAGGAGAAATGTATACCAAATGCAGGGCATAGGTAGCAAGGCTGGCATCCCAACACAGAACTGATATGAAGCCATTCTCACACCATTGACTCCTAATATGCGAAAGTAATTTTGATGTAACATGAAATGCAAAGAGCAGAATCCAAATCACATATAGTAGAGATTCGAGTTTGTAAAAATAGAAAAATTTTAAAAGTATATATACATATACATATATGTATATACACATATATGTATATATACTTTTATTTATAAAAGATAAGAAAGAGCCGGGCTCGGTGGCTCAGCCTGTAATCCCGCGCCTTTGGGAGGCTGAGGTGAGTGGATTGCCTGAGCCCGTGGGTTCGAGACCCGCCTGGGCAGCGAGACCTCATCTCTACAATAAATCAAAAAATCAGCTGGGCGTGGTAGTGCATGCCTGTAATTCCAGCTCCTTGGAAGGCTGAGGCGGAAGGATTGCCGGAGCACAGCAGGTCGAGGCTGCGGTGGCCGGGAGCGGCCACTGCACTCCAGTCTGGCCGACAGAGTGAGACTCCAACTCAAAAAAAAAAAAAAAAAAAAGATAAGAAAGAAATTCACCAAACTATGACAAGGTTAGTGTTAGTGGAACTGTGAGTAACAATTTTTCTTTATGCTCTTCTGTATTATTTAAATTTCTATCAACGCTCATGTATTAAATTACAAACAGAAAAACAAGCAGAGCACAGTGGCGCACACCTGTAATTCCAGCACTTTAGGAAGCCAAGGTGGGAGGACTATTTGAGACCAGGGATTCAGGTCAGCCCAGGCAACTAAGTGATACCTCATCTCTACCAAAACAATAAAAAATAAAAGAATTAGCCCGGCTTGGTGGTGCGTGCCTGCAGTCCTAGCTACTTGGGAGGCTCAAGTGGGAGGATTGCCTGAGCCCAGGAGGTCAGGGTTGCAGTGAACCACGATCACGCCACTGTACTCCAGCCTGGGTGACAGAGTAAGATCCTGACTAAAACAAAACAAAACAAAAAAAACACAGGACCAGGCATGGTGGTTCACGCATATAATACCAGCACTATGGAAGGCCGAAGTAAGAGGATTGCCTGAACCCACAGGTTCGGGACCAATCTAGGCAACTTGGTGAGACCTCTTCTCTACAATTTTAAATAAAAAAATTGGCCAGGCATGGTAATGCAAGTAATCCTCTGGAAGGATAGCCAGAGCCCAGCAGATTGGGGCTCCGGTGACCGTGAGCGTGCTACTGCACTCCAGCCTGAGTGACAGAGTGAGACTCCAACTCAAAAAAAAAAAAAAAGCCACACACACAAGAACAAGGAATATTCCTAATCATAATAAACTGCTTACCAAGTTAACTAAACAAGATCGCTCACCCATGAGAAGTCAAGGCTATAGAAGCATGAAACATAGTACTGTACCCCGATACAACTTTATAAATTTGGTGGGAAGTAAAAATGTGCAGTTTTTTCTGGCTTTCCTCACACACATAGTATCTGAAAGGAATGGGAACACAACTGTCCCTAACAAATTTACAATGATGCAAGTACTAACCCAAGTGAGGGAGCACACATTAGTTTGATGATGAAGTGGTAAGAATTAACGTAAGCCGGGCTCAGTGGCTCAGCCTGTAATCCCGTGCCTTTGGGAGGCTGAGGTGAGTAGATTGCCTGAGCCCGCGGGTTCGAGACCCACCTGGGCAGCGAGACCTCATCTCTACAATAAATCAAAAAATCAGCCGGGCGTGGTAGCGCATGCCTGTAATTCTGGCTACTTGGAAGGCTGAGGCGGAAGGATTACCTAAGCCCAGCTGGTCGATACTGGAGTGCCCGTGAGTGTGCCACTGCACTCCAGCCTGGGCAACAGAGTGAGACTCCAACTCAAAAAAAAAAAAAAAATTAATGTATACTTGATTTATCCTAGTGGCTGTCATTGGAAAAGGCATCACCAGTAGATTATTCTGGATAACTTCAGATTATTCTGAAGGGTTTATTATTTTCAATAATGTATTTTGTTAAGCACAGTGGCTTGTGCCTGTAAACCCAACACTTTGAGAGGTTAGAGGCAAGAGGACTGCCTGAGCCCAGGAGTTCAAGACCACCCTGGGTAACTTGGTGAGACCTCTTCTCTACAATAAATTTTTAAAAAATTAGCTGGGTGTGGTGGCACACACCTGCAGTC